CCCCCTTCCTCCTCCTCCTCCCCCTCTCCCCCTCTTTCTCTCCTCCCTCCCTCCCTCCTCTCCCTCTCTTTTCCCCAAATACTCTACAACTAAAGCCATGCTCTGCCTTGGCAACCCACCCGCTCACCTTCAGCCCCTGGAACAACACACCAACCAAGGGAGACCATCAGGAGATCACCCTTCCGTCCCACAACCAACAAACCATCTCCCACCCCATTCCTCACCAGTCACTGCAGTGGCAAAGTGCCCAAAGGCCACTGGGTCCTCATAGATGGCGCCCTGGAGTCCACGCTCCACCTCATGGTCTATGTAGTCCCTGGAAAAGCAAGAGGGGGACACCAAGGAGACATAAGCACAATGTTGCCTGCTCAATTGTCTGCACAGCACCCCCCTAACTCCCCATTTCTCGACTTTGGGCACTTTAAGTTATGTGGACTTCAACTCCCAGAATTCCCCAGTTAGCCACCTAGATGGGGGGTGCAGTGGGGAGGTGCTCTCCAAACAGGGCAACTTTTAAGTTTTGTGGACTTCAACTCCCAGAATTCCCCAGGCAGCTGAAGTCCAGAAATCTTAAAAGTTGCCAAGTTTGGAGACAAATGTAAAACGTTAGTAAATAAAGGTCATAAAATGTAATAAACAAATGTAACGAATAAGAGACAAATGTAAATTACTAAAGAAATGTGTATGTCATATATGTAAGAAATTAATGTATTGAAAAAATGTAATAAACCTAACAGTGCATTTAAATCAATAAATTGCATCAATAATTTAATAAATGAATGAATTTTATAAAGCCAGTATCTTTAATTAATTAATTTAATTTAATCTATGTATATAAAAATGAAATACCCCTCACACATCATCACAAAATCTCCAGAACTGTAAAGCCTACAAATTTGAAATTTGGCACCTATGTTCCTCTTGGCTGCTAGGGGCTCTCTAAGGAAGGGTTTTTCGAAATGACCATTAGAGCATTTAGTATTTCCTATATTATTATTATTATTAACACGCTCTGATGCTCAGGAGTCCTACTCCCCCTCCCCACCTGAAAAGAAATCTCTTCCAAATGCAAAACACAAGCAGAGGAGAGGAGTTTCAGTTTCAGTTTTACTTTCACAGCAGCACCAGGCAGCTTTAGTACAGAACAGTTGAGCTAAGCCACGCCCAGGCTCCTTGCTGTCTCCTTCTTGGCTCACACAGCAAATACTCTTTCAGTTACCAAACAGCCCTCAACTCTCTGACACACTGACAGGACGCTAGCCAGGTGAATACTGATGGATGCTGGTAGGCAGAGGCACAATTCCCCCCCGCCCCTCCTTATTTTCCTCCCCAAAAACTAAGCTCGACCACATAGTTTCGTAGCGAAGCACGAGTATCGAGCTAGTATATAAATAAAAACAGCCCTGCAAGGTAGGCCAGGCTCAGGTGAGTGTGCCTGGCACAAGGTATCCCCAGTGGGCTTCCAAAGCCAGGAGTCTCCCCATGGACTTTCCGGGGGGGGGGGGGGGGGAAGGGACCCCCCGCCTTACCAGGCTACCGGGTGGGACAGGTAGAGCAGCAGCAGGGCCAGCAGGTGAAGGTAGAGTTGCACCAGGGAGAGGAGCGGGAGCACCAAGACCATCAGGCACAGCAGGTGACCTCAGACAAGAGGGGAGAAAGTCGCATTTCAGACGTTTGTTTTAACTCTGACTTTGATCTCCTTGCCAGCGGACCCCAGACGCTTCCGCAGCCAGGCGGGCGGGCGTTGCGGATTTTCATAAATAAAATACAGCTAGTCCTCAACTTACGGCCACAAATTGAGCCCGACATCTCCGTTGCTAAGCGAGACACTTGTTAAGCGAGCTTTGCCCCCGTTTTACAAACTTTCTTGCCGCCGTTAAGCGAATCCCTGCAGCTGTTACGGTGAGTAAAACGGATGTTAAAGTGAATCCGTTTTTCACCGTCACGAAAGGGGAAATCGCTGACCACCACCCCCACCACCCCGCGGGGGACACTGCGGCCGTCATAAACGTGAATCAGGTGCCAAGCATCCGAATGTACACCACAGGACCATGCAACGGTCATAAGAGGGGGGGGCCGGAAACCAGGGTCATAACTCAAGTCTTTTCAGTGGCATTGTAACTCTGAACGGTCACACAAACTGTTGTAAATCGAGGACCAAGGTTGGTTGCCCGGATGCGGGTGGACGTGAAGTGCCCCCTCCACACACACACACACACACACACACACACCCTCCCCGGTTTTCCCTCCATGGTTGGCAAGGATGTTGCAAATGGGGGAGGGGGGGTCCTGCATAAGCGCACCCTGCCTGTCCCCATTGAGCTCCCTGGGTCCTTGTTTTATCTTCCTACTTACACTTGTCGCCTTGCACATGTTTGACCGACAAATAAATAAATGAAACAAATAAAATGTTTGCCAGCCTCCCGAAAAAGTTCAGAACCTCCCCACACCCCGCCTGGATCACCAGAGCCCCTCGCCCCACAAGGAAGGAGGGAGACCCCTGCCCCATTTCCCAGGTAGAGGGTGTGTGTGTGTGTGTGTGTGTAAGTCCTGCCCCATTTCCAGGTACTGGGGGGGGGGGGGGGAGAGGGAGACCCTGCCCCATTTCCAGGTAAAAGGTGTGTGTGTGTATGTGTGTTTGTGTGCATGCCAGGCAGAAAAAGAGGGAGACCCCTGCCCCATTTCCCAGGTAGATGGTGTGTGTGTGTGTGCCCTGCCCCATTTCCAGGTTGGGGGGGGGGGGGGGTAAGTCCAGCCCCATTTCCAGGTAGGGGGGACTGGGGGGGGGAGAGGGAGACCCTGCCCCATTTCCAGGTAAAAGATGTGTGTGTGTGTATGTATGTGTGTTTGTTTGCATGTTAGGCACAAAAAGAGGGAGACCCTGCCCCATTTCCCAGGTCGAGCTGTGTGTGTCTGTATGGGAAGGGGGGGGCAGCCCAGCCCCCGTGGTCCTGGGTGCAAGGCGAAGTCAGGCTGTCCCGCCTCCCCCCCCCCCTTTTGCACCCACGTCTCCTTTGGTGGGTTGCGCTTCCCCTTCATTCCTTCTGGAGTTTCCCTCCGTTCCCCCCGCCCCCTTGCAACTCTCCCCAGCCCCTCCCGCGCCCCATGGGAGGCGGAGTCCCTCCCCCACCCCTGGCCGAAGGGGCGCCCCGAGGGCTCTCCGGGTGGTGCCCTTTCCGCCCCTCCGGCGCCCTCACCGGCGTAGTAGAGGCTCCAGAGGCGGGCTCCCCGCAGCTGAAGCTGGTCCGCCAGGGGGCGCCCCGCGTCGGCGAAGGCCCGCACGTCCCACCGGTACAGCAGGTCCAGGAGGACCACGGGGGGCACCCGCAGCACCACGTTGGCCAGCCGCTCCAACCGGCGGGGCATGGCGAGGCGGGGGGGGGGGGGGCGGCTGCCTTCTGGGCCGACGAGCCCTCCCCCCTCCCTCCGCTTCGTCCCCGCGCGTCACACGCCCCGCTCGAAGGCGCGGCGGCCATCTTGGATCAGGGCACCACGTGGCGGCGCCATTTCTGAGCCCCGCCATGTTTAGGGAGGGAGGGTCGCTCCTTCCGGCTCGGCTGAGTGGGACTCCGCCTCCGCCTCGGGCGCCCTCTGGAGGGCATGGCCGGAAGCGCCCCGTGGCCCGCAGCTGGGTTGTCTTTATTTCAGATGGGGGCTGGGAGGCGGTTTTCATAGAAAGGGACCTCAAGGTCTTCTAGTCCACCCCCCCTGGCTCAAAGCAGGAGACTTTATACCATCTTATACTATCCAGTGTACGGCGGCAGCCAAAAAAGCCAATGCAATCCTAAGTTGCATTAGCAGAGGGATACAATCGAGATCAAGGGAGTAACTAATATTACTCTATAAAGCCTTAGTAAGGCCACAGCTAGAGTACTGCATCCAATTTTGGTCACCACACTAAAAAAGTTGTTGAGGCTCTAGAAAAAGTACAGAGAAGAGCAACCAGGATGATGACGGGACTGGAGGCTAAATGAATGGTTACAGGAAGACTAGCTACACTAGACTAGCTTGGCTAGTCTAGGGAAGAGAAGGACCAGGGGAGACAGGAGAGCATCTTCCAATATTTGAGGGGCTGCCACAGAGAGGAGGAAGGGGTCAGGCTATTTTCCAAAGCCCCCAAAGGCCAGACAAGGAATAATGGATGGAAACTGAACTAGGAGAGATTCAACCTGGAAATAAGGAGAAACTTTCTGACAGAACAATCAGCCAATGGAACAGAAGTTGCCTTCAGAAGTTGTGGGAGCTTCGTCACTGGAGGCTTTCAAGAAGAGACTGGACCGCCCTCTGTCAGAAATGGTGTAGTAGGGTCTCCTGCTTAGGCAGTGGTGGTGGTGGTGGGGTTGGACTAGATGACCTACAAGGTCCCTTCCAACTCTATTAATCTGTATCAGTCTCTTCTTGAAGAGGAACACCTAAAACTCCTGGAGGGAAGCCGCCTTTCCACCAAGTAATTGTTCTGACTGGTAGGAAATTTCTCCTTCATTGTAGATTGGATCTCTCCTTGATAAGTTTCCATTTGTTACTTCTTTAGTTTAGTTTATTGTCATTGCACCTCGCACAACGAAATCAAACACCATCTTCAGTGCACATCATGACCATGAAAATAAACACCAACATGCATTCTTCACCCTTCGCACATTGAACCGGCACCAACACTGCACTATACAGCAGAATTCAAAAGAGCTACTGCCCTGGGATAGAAGCTGTTTTTCAGCCTATTAGTCCTTGTTTTTATTATCCTGTACCATCTGCCAGGTGGTAATAGTTAAAAAAAAAGGGGGTTGCCCAGAATGAGATGGATCTTTGAGGATGTTTTGAACTTTCTTAAGGCAGTGGGAGCTCTAAAGCTCTTCCAAGGAGAGGAGAGGGCAACCAATTGATCTTCTGGGCAATGACATTAAACCCTCTGGAGTGCTTTCCTATCTGCCCCTGTGCAATTGGCAAACCAAACAGGTGCAGTATGTTAAAATGCTCTCTATGCTGCAGCGGTAGAAGGTCACGAGCAGTTTTTCATGCAGTTGTTGTTTCCTGGGAAGCCTCAAGTAGAACAATCTCTGCTGGGCCCTTTTGACCAGGGCTGCAATGTTGTGAGCCCCTCAGGTCAGGACCTCTTTTATTGTAACACCCAGAAATTTAAAACTGGCCACTTGCTCCACTCCATTCCACTTGCCTTGCCCTTAGGTGCTTTGGAGAATACATTCACTCCTTCCAAGCCAAACAAGGGAACCAAAAGACCAAAAGGTATCTCCCCACCAGCAATCGGCACCCAGATGACCAAAGATCAAGACTATGATTAACAACAGACCAATAATCAATACTCCAATCAAAGAAACAATAAACAATACCCCAATCAAAGAACTACCAAACAAGCTAATGGTAAACAGCCGAGCCAAAGAATATCCAAGACCGTTCCCACCAACACTGACAGGGCATCTTTCTAGCACTGATGATGTTACATAGGTTATGAAAGGTCTTGCAAGAAAACAATCAAGTTCAGAGAGATCCAAGGACCCCACAGTCATCCTCCTCTAGCTGTCCTGCACTCTGCAAACATCACTCCCTCTTACCGTTGCTGATGTTATCTAGTTGGGTCATGAAACGTCTGCAAGGAACCAGAGCACCAAAAATACCATACTTCAAACCTGAGCAACAAATATTCTCCTTTGTTGGTTCTTCTACTCTGAGGAAATATATTGTGGCCTGTTTGTTTTCATCTTCTGACTGAAGAGAGGAAGGTATGTCATAATGAGGAACTCCCCTTGGTATTTTCCTTACTGATTTGTAGATTCAATGCGGAAACCCAGAAAAATCAAGGAATGTAGCTAAAGATAATATCAGCTTGTCATATGGAGTCCATAGACTGGGGTGGAGAACGATAACCCTTTTATGAATTGTGGACTTCAACTCCCAGAATTCCTGAGGCAGCATGGAGAACGATGGTCCCTCTATAACTTGTGGACTTCAACTTCCAGAATTCCTGAGGCAGCATGGAGAACGATGGTCCCTCTATAACTTGTGGGCTTCAACTCCCAGAATTCCTGAGGCAGCATGGAGAACGATGGTCTCTCTATAACTTGTGGGCTTCAACTCCCAGAATTCCTGAGGCAGCATGGGGGAATGATGGCTCTTTTAGGACTTGTGGACTTCAACTCCCAGAAGGCGTGCATACTGTCCCTGTCCCCATTTATTCATACCTATTTCCTGTACTCTTACTTATGTTTATGCTTATATCTATTATCTTGTAAGCGGTTGACAAATCAAATCAAATCAATAAATAAATTCCTGAGCCAGCATGGTACACCAGAAACCAGGACACACAAACAGGTAAAGCCCTGTTCATAGGATGCAGGTAGCATGCGAAACCATGCCCTTTTCGGTCCACGGAAAAACCACTGTCCACGGAACCCGTATCTGGTGCCCCAAAGGCTGGGGGAGGAGAGGGGGGGGCTGATCTAAAGTCCCTTCTAGCTCTAACTCAGATTGATTGATTGAAAAGGAGCAAAGAATCAAACAGCAAATGGCGTGACTTTACTCAGCCAGGAGGTGGCGCCAAAGACTTTGCTATGATAAAAGACGCCTGGAAATTTATTTATTTATTTTTATTTATTTATTTATTTGATTTGCCAATTGTTTACAAGATAATAAGTATAAATGTATACATAGTTGTGAATACATGAAATGGGTACATATAAGAAAAATAAAATAAGAGAAACAATAGGACAGGGACGGTAGGCACGTTGGTGCGCTTATGCACGCCCCCTACAGGCCTCTTAGGAAAGGGGTGAGGTCAATAGTAGACAGTCTAAGGTTAAAGTTTTTGGGGTTTGGGGAAGAAACTACAGAGTCGGGTAGAGTATTCCAGACATTGACCACTCTGTTGCTGAAGTCGTATTTCCTGCAATCAAGTTTGGTGCGGTTAACCTTGAGTTTGTATCTATTGTGTGCTCTTGTGTTGTTATGGTTGAAGCTGAAGTATTCATTGACAGGTAGGACATTGCAATGTATGATTTTGTATACCATACTTAGATCGGACCGAAGACGGCGTAGTTCTAGGTTTTCAAGTTCTAGAATTTCAAGTCTGGTGGCATAAGGTATTCTACAACGAGTAGAGGAGTGGAGAACTAATTGGGGGGGGGCATCTTCCTTCTCTGCGGCTAGCAAATTTGGGATTTCCAGACCAGGGAAAGAAGATCTGGTGATGGTTGGGATGCGGCTGTAATTCAGAAAAGCAGTCCGGGCAGTTCCTGACTTACAGCCATTTGTTTAGTGACCATTCGAAGTTACCACGACACTGGAAAAAGTGACTTTATGACCGTTTTTCCACACTTAATGACCGTTGCGCCATCCCCGTGTTCATAGAGATGTTTTGCAGCTGCCTCAGATTCGTGATGCTTTTGGGACCTTCTGACAAGCAAAGTCAATGGAGAATCCGGATTTGCTTAACAACTGTGTTACCAGCTTCACAACGGCGTGGCATCAATCCATCAGAATAGAGCTGGAAGGGACGTTGGAGGTCTTCTAGTCTAACCTTCTGCTCAAGTAGGAGATCTTATACCCGTGATGGCATGCAGAGCCATTTGTGCCTGCACGCAAGCCGCAGGCAAAATTTACCTCACTGCGCACGCGTGCACCTCCCAGCTGATTTTTGGGCCCATTTGAGGCCTTTTTCAGCCTCCCAGAGGCTTGAAGAAAGCCTTTGCGGGCCGAAAAATAGGCCCGTTTTGTCACTTCATGTATTTCCGGAAATACTGGAAGTGACGAAACGGGCCCATTTTTCAGCCTGCAGAGGCTTTCCTCAAGCCTCTGGGAGTCTGAAAAAGGCCTCAAACGGGCCCAAAATCAGCTGGGAGGTGCAGTGCAAGTAAGGGGGTGGGGATTGCGTGCACATACACAGGGCGGGGAGGGGGCACGCGCATTGCCTTCTGGAGGCTGGCATGCGAGCGTGCAGGCACAAGTGCACACAATTTTTGGCACAGGAGCCCAAAACGGTTAGCCACCACTGTCCTATACCATTTCAGACAGGTGGCTGTCCAATCTCTTCTTAAAAATCTCCAACGATGAAGCACCCATAACTTCTGGTGGCAAGCAGTTCCGCAGGTTGATTGTCCTATTAGGAAGTTTCTCTTTCATTCCAGGTTGCTTTTCTCCTTGATTTCTGTTAAGCCTGGATTCCCCAACGGGTGTTAAGGAAAACAAACTAAACAGAACGTGCAGCGAAGTCAGATAGGAAGACAGGTAAATGTGTGAGATAAGTTTTTTAGTTAACACGCAGTAAAAATACAGATACGCTTGTGCTATCAAAAATATAGTTTATTCCATTTAAGAATTATAGCATAGTCAAAATAAACGGTCCATTAGTCATATATCAATTTCAGTCAAGTCTTGTCGGGGATACTCTATTTGCAAAGTCCGTGTTGAATAGCCAATGTCAGTACACTTACAATAAATCAGTCCAATCTTTATCTTCTCTCCGTTGAGAAATATCAACACTCCTTTTTCTCTCCCCGTTCCAGCAAGAACGCAGTCATCAATCCTTCCAGTAATTAGGGATCAGTAAGCCAGAGAGAGCGAGCTGCTATTGCCTCGCTTCTTATATAGTGCTTTTACAACCACACCCTTAATTACATTCTTGCTGTTAAAGTTACACACACTTTAACTAACAAACCATGATACCTTATTTATTATTTTTACCCAAACCAATTAGGGTAAACAATGTTATCCCTAACATTTTCCATCCATTGTTCCTTGTCTTGCTTTCTGGTGCTTTGGAAAATAAATGGGCCCCTCTCCTCTTTGGGGCAGCCCCTCAAATCCTGGAAGGCTGCTCTCATGTCCCCCCCTGGCCCTTCTCTTCCCTAGACTAGCCAAGCCCAAATCCTGCCACCGTTCTTCATATGTGTTAGTCTCCAGGCCTTTAAATCATTTTGGTTGCTCTTCTCTGCATTTTTTTCTCTCCAGAGTCTCAACATCAGAAGAGACCCATCTTTTACCCCTTCCTCAAGGCAGCCTTGGCAAATGCCACACCTGCTCTGACCTTGAACTATCCATGCCACACCCTTAATGCCAGGCTCCTGGCTTTGACGGACAACTTTAATCAAGCTTTTTCACAGTCCCTTTTTCAGCGGCTCTCCAGAAGGATGTCGTGAAAATGGTCATTTGCTATTTTTTCCACATATCAGAAATGGCTTTATTAAATGATTAAGACGTTTGATGTCTTCATCCTCCAGGTGGTTTTTGCTGGAGAGGGAGAGGGAGGTACTAAAGGAGCATCTGGAAGACCAGATGGAGACAAGGATGGATGTGTTTTCTCCCCTTCTCCCCCCTGTGTACACCGCAACCGAATGAGAACCTTTGACGGAGGGTCCCAAGAGACTCCACCGAGGTTAAGAAATTCATTAGCACAATGTAGAACTTCTTAAAAGCCAAAAAAAAAAAAAAAAAAAAACGCAGATGTTACCAATTGGCAGCAGTTCTTAGTTATGCAGGAGGAGGTTTTGTAGAAGAAGAAGAAAAAAAAAACCCCAAAATAAAACAAACAAGGATTGTAAAAGGTCATCATCATGCTAAAAACCTATGCTGCAATTTTTCACATTTTTTTCATGCTGGGTTTTAGTGGGGGGGGGGTCAGGATTCAAATACAGTGGAGGCATTGTGATGTCCCCATGAATTGTAGAGTAATGTTACGCACGCTGTCGATTCGGCTTGTGGGTCACTCATTCACACATTCCCAGCCCGGATCAACAGCCACACACAAGTCACTTCGAACACCTCTGTTCTTTGGAATAGAGACTTTAAAGAGCTATTAGTTGCAATACACACACACACACTTGACCCTGTCCTTCTCAACTAGACTGGCCCGCACTAACTAACCTCCAAGTCTGGACCCATAGAGGATTCTGAGAGTGGGTGGGCTTCAGGGCCCCCTTTCCCTCCCCAAAGCCCTTTCGTTATTGATTCTCAAAAGTGACAGTTTCTCTGGCCTTGTGGATTGACAGGTCTGGTAGCTGCTGATAGGACCTGGAGGGAGTTTTCTCACTTCCTTTGTCTGGTTCATTGTTGTTATTTCTTTGTTTCTTCGATGGCTTGGATCCTTCTTCCCTTCCCTTCCCAAAGGGATCAAGTAACAGAATACATATAGTCCTCAACTTACGACAGTTTACTAAGTGAACGTTCAAAGTTACAACAGCACTGAAGGAAGCAACCAATGACCATTTTTCAAACGACTTTTGGTAGCATCACCCCTGATCATGTGATCAAAATTCATATAATTTTCTTTGAATAAACTAAAAATCATTATCTTCTATTACTGGCCCCATAATCCCTTGTGGGGTGGAGTCTGGGGACAACTGAATGGAACTGAGTATTTTCATGGCCGGATGCCTTTCCCTGTCACCAATGTGGAGTTTTTGTTCAGCAGATATATTCTTCTCCGCATGCTACCTAGGATCGAACTCACAGCCTCCTGATTGTGAGGCGAGAGCTCCACCTCTAGGCCATTGCACCACCCCTTTTGAATAAACTAAAAATGTTTGTAAAAAAAAAAAAAAGGAAAGAAAACTGATTCTTTGTTTCATTTTTTTTTTACTAGCCCTAAGTTGCCAAATAAGACAGTGCTTTTAATCTGCAAAAAAGAAAAAGAAAAAAAAGAGTAAGGCTGAGAAGAAATGTCAAAAGTGTTGATTTGGGCTACTGTTTTTAAGCGGCAGTTTTATCATTTGCTTTTCTCTCGCTGAGGTGATCTAATAACAGTTTTGCCTGTCCTTCGGCCAGGAGCTAGGACAGCCACCTCATCTCTGGAGACTTCTTGCAAATCCCCTTCTGGTGTTCGTCACATGGGTGATTCATCCAACATTTATAAGGCATTGGACATTTGCTGTCGAGTAGGGACACACTGGTTGTCTTTCGGATGCTGTGGAAATCCATCAGCCCAGTAACTGAAAAGAAGAAACAACAGCCATCAGTCCTCCACACAGGGTAAGAATCTTTTAACAGAATGACCGAGTTGGAAGGGACCTCAGAGGTCATCTGTTAAGGTCTTGGGATTTAAGAGCTGATCAGCAGTGAAGCTGATGCAAAATAAGGCAGATGCAATGGAGACGAATCAGCATTAGTATTGCCTCTTTAAGACTGAGGATGGGTTCTACCCCTTTAAGAGGTGTTTATATAAGGCAGCAATTAGAGGGTGGTTTCTTTCTCCTTGTGTCCGGTATTCATTGCAGAGTTCTCCGTGTAGAGTTAAGAAGGTTGATTGCTTGTAAGGTATTTTGCCTACCATGTATATTTTTGAATATGTCTTGTATATAAACCACGGTTCAATGTCTAAGTCTCTGAGTGCTGTGTGTTTGCTCCTGTTTTGTCTCACAAGAGCAATCACACTGCAAATGCTCTGACATCATCTAGTCCAACCCCCCTGCTTGAGCAGGAGACCCTACACCCACTCTCAAACTCAAGCAGGAGACCCCCATCCCAATTCCAGACAAATGGTTTTTCAGTCTCTTCTTGAAAACCTCCAGGGATGGAGCGCCCACAACTTCTGGTGGCAAGCTGTTCCACTGGTTAATTGTCCTCACTGTTAGGAAAATTCCAGGTTGTTTCTCTCCTCGATTAGTTTCCATCCATTGTTTCTTGTCTTGCCTTCATACGCTTTGGAGAATAAGTTGCCTCACCCCTCCCCTTTTGCATTAATAAAGGAGAATATTAAAAATGAAGGTTGAAATGAGGGGTCCTTGGTGTTCTTTGAACTCAGTAGTTTTCTTTTTTTTGCAGACATTTCATTACCCAACTAGGTAACAGCATCCGTGCTAGAAGGGGGTGCAGTTTGCAAAGAGGACGATGACAACTGTAGGGTCCTTGGCGCTCTCTGAGCTTGGTTGTTTTCTTGTAGACATTTCATGACCAAACTAGGGAATATTATCAGGGCTTAGAAGGGAGTGGGGCTTCCAGAGAGGAGGAAGAGGAAGAGGATGAAGAGGATGATTGTGTGTTCTTGATGCTCTCTGAGCAGGGTTGTTTTCTTGCAGACGTTCCATTACCCAACTAGGTAACATCATCAGTGCTGGAAGGAAGTGGGGTTTGAAGGGGGAGGAAGAGGAGGAAGACAACGACTGTGGGGTCCTTGCTGCTCTCTGGGCTTGGTTCTTTTCTTTCAGACGTTTCATGGCCTAATTAGAGCCTGTCCACAGCCCACCCCCTTCCTTCTAGACTAATGATATTACCTAGTTGGGTAATGAAACGTCTGCAAGAAAACCACCAAGCGCTGGGAGCACAACGGACCCCACATATTGCATCACCTGCCTTCTCCCCCAGATGTGAAGCTCCATTCCAAGCTATAGACAAACTGAAATGATATACTTACGTAGGCTGGAACTCCAGGGTTATGCCAGACAAATTTACTGTCCTGGGCACGATACTTGTATCCAATCCAGAAGTGACCGGATCTGGAGGCAACTGATGTTCCTAGAAACCTCTGGAAAAATGAAATCACAAATTCTCCACCTGGAACACTTTTCAAATCAGAGCCTGCACAAGATGCATCTTTGGAAGAATATGTAGAAGCAGAAAAAAGCACAAATGCAATCCAAAGGGTCAGTGGTGGGATTTGAATAACTTAACAACCGCTTCTCTGTCTGGGTAGGCATGGCCAGTTGGTCACGTGACTGGGTAGGTGATGTCACTCATCACACCCAGTCCCGCCTCCCAGCCACTTGCCTCAAAGGCAGAGGTAGGATTTAGCCAGTTGGGGCTAATCCCACCACCGGCTGGCCCCGTCCCTGCCTATTTTTCAGCCTGGTTTTTTTTTTTTTTTGGCTATTTTTGGGGCATTTTCAGCTGTTTTGGGGCCGTATTCAAGCCATTATTTGGGCTGTTTCCAGGCTGTTTTTTCGGCTGAAAAAATGGCCTGAAAATGGCTCACAAACGGCCTGAAATACGGCCTGAAAACAGCCTCCCAAATGTCCTGAAAACAGCCCCAAAATGTCCTGAAAACAGCCCCAAAATAGCCTGAAAACAGCCATTTTTTTCCAGGCCAAAAAATGAGCAGGGGTGGGGCCAGTCAGTGGTGGGACTTGCTAGGTTGCTGAATTGTGCAGAATCTTAATTACCAGTTCGTCCGAACCAGTGCGAACCAGCAGCAGCCCACCTCTGCCTAGGGTATACTTAGAAAAGAGCGAGATATGTCAGATATCTGAAGCAATGCAGCAATTAGGGGGAACCAAGGAGGAGTTTGGGCGTAATCTCTTCCCCTGCCCCAATAATTTTATGAAGGATTTTATCAAACAAGTAAGAATAATACAATCCCTAAGACAGAAATACATAATAAAATACGCACATACATAGAACATTTTTTAAAAGTACAGGGGGGAAAAATCAGTAATACCAGTTAATAATTAACATGAAAAATAATTACAAATTAATCCATTGCTCCCCACAATAACAATTATCGCCCAATCACATTAAAAAAAAAACACTTTAGGCATCACCAGAGATAACAAACCATTACTTGAACCCTAAACAAATTAATTATGTATCCTTCTTTCGGCCAGCGATATTGAAGTCCCACAAATAAAATTCCAATAACTGCTCTCTCGATAATCTTTTTGTCTTTTCTCTCAAAAGCCTCGTCCACTTTATCAATTTTGCATGCTGCCTGCATCCTGCTGATGGGATGTGTGGCCAGGTTTCTGGCATGCTGAGGCCCAGTGCTGGTCCATGGACTCAGGTGGGAGGGGCTGGGGACCCCTGCTCTAGTCTCCAAACTTTAAAATCTTGTTATTGGCTCATCGTATAAACAACGAAATATTTCCCCGTTAAGAGAGGATCCTTTTCATTAACAGATTAACGGAACAGCAGAGTTGGAAGGGACCTTGGAGGTCTTCTAGTCCAACCCCCTGCTCAAGCAGGAGACCGTATACCATTTCAGACACGTGGTTGTCCAATCTCTTTTTGAAAAACTCCAATGATGGAGCAGCCACAACTCCTGGAGGCAAGCTGTTCCACTGATTAATTGTTCTCACTGTCAATAAATTCCTCCTTAGTTCTCAGTTGCTTCCCTCCTTGATGAGTTTCCATCTGTTGTGCTTCTTGTCCTGCCTTCAGATACATTGGAGAATCCCCTCTTCTTTGTGACAGCCCATCAAATATTGGAGGACTGCTATCACATCACCCCTAATTCCCTCTTTTCCTTAAAGTAAGGTAAAGGTTCCCTTCACACATACATACTAGTCATTTCCAGCTCTAGGGGGTGGTGCTCATCTCCGTTACAAAGCCAAAGAGCCAGCGCTATCCAAAGACATCTCCAGGGTCATGTGGCTGGCATGACTAAACACCAAAGGCACATGGAACGCCGTTACCTTCCCACCAAAGTGGTCCCTATTTTTCTACTTGCATTTTTACATGCTTTCGAACTGCTAGGTTGGCAGAAGCTGGGACAAGTAACGGGAGCTCACTCCGTTACGTGGCACTAGGGATTCAAACCGCCGAACTGCCAGCCTTTCTGATCAACAAGCTCAGCATCTTAGCCACTGACGCACCGTGTCCCCTTCTTTAAAGTAGACCTTCATGTTTTATCCTCCAGGCCCCTAATCATCTTTGTTGCTCTTCTCTGCAGTCTTTCCAGAGTCTCAACATCTTTTTATATATAGCTGCTCGTACAATGGGCCCAACTCCTATACAGATGTCACAAAAGCCATGTAAAAGCGGCAGCTGGGATATCAGAGGAGTTCAATATCACCGTCGGCGTACACCAGGGCTCTGCTCTCTCACCACTGCTGTTCATTCTGGTGATGGACACAATTACACATGACCTGTACACGCCCGCCCCATGGACGCTGCTCTACGCCGATGATGTGTTCCTGGCCAACCTGTGCAAGGCTGAACTCGAGCACCTAGTCCAACAGTGGCACGACCGCCTCGAGCAGTTCGGGCTCCGGTTGAACCTAAAGAAGTCCGAATACCTGACCACTGACAACGAAACGACAGGCTCCATCCACGTGAACGGGCAGGAGCTACCACGCGCCTCCACCTTCAAGTACCTGGGAACTACTCTTGGGGAAGAAGGCTTACTACAAACTGAGGTGGCAGCCAGGATCAACGCAGCGTGGGGCAAATGGAAGTCCGTCACGGGCGTCCTCTGTGACAAGAAGATGCCGATGCGCCTGAAGGCGAAAATCTATAACTCTGTGGTGCGCCCCGTGGCCATATACGGCGCAGAGTGCTGGCCGACGACCAAAGAAGTCGAAAGCAGACTCCAGACAATGGAGATGCGAATGCTCCGATGGTCGGTAGGCCTCACCCTACTCGATCGCGTCAGGAACGAAGAAGTGCGTAGACGGTTCAACGTCGTGCCCATCCCCACGGTCATGAGGCAGTCCCGGCTACGATGGTTCGGCCATGTGAGTCGCGCCAAGGAAGAATCCATCATCAAATCTGCGATGAAGGTGACTGTCGGAGGAGCGAGACCGCGCGGTAGACCTAAGCAACGCTGGATGGACACGATCAAGGCCGACCTAGAGATCGCGAAGGCAGACCCGACATACGTGGCAGACAGAGAGGCGTGGAAGCAATACTCAAGGACATTAGCGGACCTCGCCAGAGCGCGAGACAAACGCTGAAGAAAAAGAAGAAGAAGAAGATATATATATATATATATATATATATATATATATATTGCGGTAACCAAAACTGGATGCAGTATTCCAAGTGTTGAGCCCTCTCCTGCACCCCTGGCCTGAGCGCCTGAGGACAGCTTTCCAATCAGATGTCTTGCTATCCAGAGATTATCCAGAGACAATTGATACAGGAGAGGGGTCAGCAAGGGGCCCAGCCACTTTTAGGCTGGTGTTCTTTTCTGCCAAATCAAGAGCCAAAGGATACAACAACTCAGTCAATGACAGAGTCATTCTAACTCCTAGCCACTCACCTTGTGTGAACACCAAGCGAGGGTTATAATGAAGGCTATGAAATTCCAGGGGTGTCCAACTCAAGGCCCGTGGGCCGGATCCAGCCCGCAAGGTGCTTAGATCTGGCCCATGGGGCTGTCCTGGAAACGGTGAAGGACCGCTCAACAATGCGCCTGCCAGCAAAAATGTGCGCAGCCCTGCCAAGCTCTGTTTTCACTTGCAGAGGGTTGCAGGAGGCAGTCACATCTGAAAACGGAGCTTGGGAGCCCCTTTCTGCTGGCAAAACGCTTGCGCCACCACAGGCGCCGACACGAGTGACGTCGAGCTGGCCATGCCCACCCCGCGCCCTGAGTCAAACACAACCCTGATGCGGCCCTCAATGAAATCAAGTTTGACACCCCTGGGATAGACCACAAGCCCAAGGGTACAACAACCAAACTCAGTTACATCAGGAAAGGGAGGGAGAAAAATAGTGCACTTACTTGCTTGTCCTTATCTTCAATGGACACAATTTCAGCTTTGAGGGCAGCACAGCGCTTTACCCATTCTTCCTGCTGAAGCGTCTGGTCCCCAAAATAATACATTTTACCTTCATGGATTATCCAGTCTGTGGACAGTTTGGCTTGGAGGTCCGCTTTGAACCCAATCATGATTTTGATGTGGGGAGAGAGAAAAGAGAAAGAAAAAAAAAAACCCCACCAAAATTTAAAAGAAGAACAGTTCGGTTAACACTTTCAACACAATTTATTGAAATGTGTTATTTTTTTTTTTTTTTTAAGAAGAAAAACCCCGTTAGGATGTAACGAAGCTTTCAGGCTGTTTCTTTCAGGAATAGACATAATTTGCAGTTCTGGATCATATATTTCATGCATTTTCTCATCAACATTTTGGGGTGGAATGTTCATGGCTTCCTGGTTTTTCATTAGAAGAGACTTGTACAGTAGTCCTCGACTTACAGCGGTAAATTTAGTGAGCACTCGAAGTCACAGAGGCACTGAAAAAAGTGATTTGAGACCGTTTTTCAGACTTATGACCATTGCAGCATCGCCCAGACTCAGAGGCTTGGCAACTGACTTGTATCTGTGACTGTGCAGAGCTTGGAATCCGAATCTGAGCAACGGGGGTGTTTTCTGAGGACCTTTTTTTTTGGGGGGGGGGGTTTGAATAAATACCCTTAGAACGGGAGAGGGGAGCGGGCAGCACACTGACTTACCAAGCGCGGCTTCAAGTTCTTGATGCTTTACAGTCAACAGCGCCAAAGGTAGGGCCAACTTTTCAACTTCCCAGATCAAATCAGTATCTGAAAAACGTGAGTAGCAGATCTTAACTGATCAGAATTTGTCTTCAAAGAAAAACCCAGAAAGTCCAGTTGCCTCTTGAAAAAGCACCTTCGGGATTTTAGAGGACCAACCTGTGGCTTTTCCTGCCGGCTTCCCTGTTGATGCTGCTCGTGGGAAGCCAGCAGAACGGAGGTGGTATTCATTTAAATGGTCTGCATTTAAAGTGACACACACAATCATAGTCTATATATATTATTTTACCCAAACTAAGTTAGGTAACCATGTTATTCCTAACAGGTACTTAGCCGGTTCTGACCAGTTGTAGAGAACCGGTAGCGGAAATTTTGAGTATTTCGGAGAACCGGCCAATCCCACCTCTGACTGGCTCTGCCAACCCCATTTCTTCTCTGCCTCCCATTGAGTCCCAGCTGATCGGCTGGGTCTCCTTTGGTTGCCCTGCACAGGAGAACGGAGCTGGAAAGCAGGTTAGTGGGGTGGGGGAGGGAAGGGGGATTTTGCAATATATCCTTCCCCTGCCATGCCCACAAAGCCACGCCCACCAAGCCATGCCCCACCCACCAAGCCACGCCCAAAGAACCAATAGTAAAAAAATTATATTCATATCATCCGTGCTACTGTAGTACAAACTAGACGTTGAGAGAGAAAAATGTCTCTTTATCCATTGCTGTCTTTGGCGTCACCATAACCAAAGGTAGTATTCAGCTAGTTCGGACCAGTTCTGGAGAACCAGTAGCGGAAATGTTGAGTAGTTCGGAGAACTGGCCAATCCCACCTCTGACTGGCCCCGCCAACCCCATCTCTTCTCTGCCTCCCATCGAGTCCCAGCTGATCAGCTGGGTCTTTTTTGGTTGCCCTGCACAGGAGAACGGAGCTGGAAAGCAGGTTAGTGGGGTGGGGAGGGAAGGGGGATTTTGCAGTATATCCTTCCCCTGGAGTGGGGTGGAAATGGAGATTTTGCAGTATCCTTCCCCTGCCCTGCCCATCAAGCCATGCCCATCAAGCCACGCCTGCCACGCCCACCACGCCACAACCACACAACCGGTAGCAAAAAAAAAATTTGAATCCCACCACTGCAGCAGAAGGTTGGCAGCGGCAACTACCTGACCGTGGGATGCTGCAACCCGTTGTAAATGCAAGCTGGCTGGCTGCCAGTGCCTCAAACTTTGTTCATGTGACCACAGGTGAGATTAGGATTAAGTTATCCCAGCCATTCTTCCACTCTGCCATAACCCCTTGTGGAAATGTGCCATCTTCAGATATGGAACTCTTTACGTCATGCCCCCGTCGGAGCCTGAATCCATGGGGGAAGTTGAGCGAGATGAAAGCCCGACAGAGAATGGGGGGGGGTGTGGCTCCGTTGGCTGTGGAGGAAACTGGGCAAGGGCAGAGCCAGGCTGGCCAGAGTGTGGCAGGAGAACAAGAGGAGCAGAGGTGAGAGAGTTCAGCCCGAGGAGCAAGGCCCACCCCCCTCCTGATCCTAGAGCACGGAGGGAAGAGAGGAGGCGAGAGCAATGCAGACTGGGTCAGCTACGAGGGAGGAGAGTGCCCCGCCCTGCTTCATAAGGCACACCTGGGGATTGAGCTTTAAGGAGAGGCAGTTGGGAGGAGCATTGGTTGGGAACAAGCATGGAATCTGTGGAGCCTCGTGTGCATTTGCTGACGCCTGGAGATTTCTGTACTCTGTCGTGTGGGCTTTGCCCTGTTCGCCTGCTTCACTGAACTCCTTGCTCTGTTCCTGTTTGGCTAACCTGGTTTACTGGACTGCTGGCAGCCAGAGGCTGCTGAAGCTTCATGTCAAAGCTTTGCTCCAGGAGTGGTAGTGGCGTTTGGGGGCAAAGTTGGAGCAATAACGGGGAATTATACCTGTTCTCTGGCTGATTGGCTTTTGTGCCATGCCCCGGGTCATCACACTTTACATACCATTAAGCAAGGCATAATTTTCATCCAGGGATACCATATATCTCCTCATATTTACGACTGCTTTCCGAAGCGTGCCATGTTTTCGCTTTTCTATGAAACCTGTAATGGAGGTTTATTATCATGTGGGCTTTGGCTGACAGAATCTTGCTAAGTACAACATGCCCAAAGAAAATATATTATATATAATATATTATATTATATATATTATTAATATATTATTAGCTATGATAAAGATTCTAAAATGGAAGGTTTCTATGATAAATTGACCGATTTAGATAAGATTTTAACAGGTACTGATGAAAAGGTGGATATTTATTAGAAATTAAACTAGAAGAACAATTTAAAGAAACTATGATTGCTTGGGGGAAGAATTTTGGATATGGGGTTGATTTAGAGAAATGGCAAAAATTGTGGTCTCAAAATTATAAAATGACAATGTCAACAGCATGTAAAGAAAATTTGGATGTTTTACAGGTGGCATTTCCCCCCGACAAGAATAGCAAGAATGTTCAAGAATAAATCCGAAAAATGTTGGAAATGTCATCAGACACCTGGCTCATATTACCATATGTGGTGGACTTGTGCAGATGCTAAAAAATACTGCGCTAAAATGCACACGTGGTTGGAAAAAATGACAAAAAAACATATAGACTTGAAACCAGAGATATTTTTATTGGGAATTTTACCTGAAATATATAGTAAAGACTTGAAATACCTGATTGTAAATGTATTAACAGCGGCTAGGATTGTATTTGCCAAAAACTGAAAATATATTTTGGTATGCTTCCTTTAAAGGTTTCTTCCCCGTGAAGTCATACCTTGAAATTGCGACTGTTAAGGCAAATCGTCTTCGACTTAGCAACAGTTTGTTCAGTGATCATTCACAGTTACAACAGCACAGACGTCGAGAGGTGCCACTAAATGAACTGAAGTAAGTCGAGGATTGCCTGTTGTCCATGACTATCAGGTGCAGATGGTGAAAGGACGGTGGCGCCTTTTGGGCTAGGTCTCAAACCCGGGAGTTTCTCCCATTCAGTTCATCATTACGTTGATGGCATGAAAGCTGGCAGGTGTGGGCTTTGAGTTCAACCAGAGCCCGTCAGCTCTGAATATGCCTCGCAGCAAGTCAGCTGGCCAGGTTACCTTATCTCTGCTGCTGCCTGATCTGTATTTCTGCTTGTGTGCTGGCCAATGGTTTTGGAATGACTCAGCAGAGCTGAGGATGGATTCTGCAACAACTGCGGGGCTGCAGGATGGATTCTGCAACAACTGCGGGGCTGCAGGATGGATTCTGCAACAACTGCGGGGCTGCTGGAGCTGGCTCTTTATTGATGTGGGGCATATTGTTAAAGTGGGTTGGGGCACATATAGGTGGTAATTGGGACTTAGGTTAAAACATGGTGAAGGTGGCACCCGCTGGGGATCAGTTAGTGAGGGTTGGAATAGGATAGGGGTGTAAACATGTTATAGGGTTAATAGCATTTAGGGATAATGGGTTAGGCGTGGCCAGAATTAGAACTGCGTATAGGCCTGGGTGTGTCTCATGATAATGGTGATAAAAGGAAAGGGAGAAAACCCAACTCTAACCTGGCCTGGCTTTTAGCCATTCTTGCCTGATTAGAGTATTTGTTGTTTGATGCTATATTGAATAAACCATCATTGTCCTAAAGAGGAGCTGGAGTTTGGATTCATTTAAAGACAAACCTTCAATACTCAAGTACTGGCTGAGAGAAGGTTCGAGTTTTGAGTTTGCTCCCTTTCCTTTTATCACTATTATCATGAGACACACCCCGCCACTTGGGGACACAAACATACCCAAACTATTCTAAGAAATGTTTCAAAGTTTGCCTTGGAGATTTGGGTGAGCCTCTAAATGGATAAATCACGGGAGACAAATTAAATACTTACTCAGCGCACCAATCCAAGAGGTGCAGAGAAACAGACAGAAGAGTATTACAAAACCAACAACTACAGATCGCTGGCTTCTGATGGTTGGGGTGTTCAACACTGTGGTTAGGGAAAAGCAAACATTGGTTTTAAAAAACAACAACAACCATCCAGTAGCCGCAGGAAGGATCTTAATGTCCATTGCTGTGATGCATTTTCCCTTGGTATGCGTCCCAAATCTACAACTGATCTAATTGACCTAATCTGGAGGATTAGGGTCTGACTAGTCTAAAGAAAACAGGAATTAGGGGTGACATGACAGGACTACTCCAAGATCTAAGGGGCTTCCACAAAGAAGATTATTCTACAAAACACCAGAGGGCAGGACAATAAACAATGAATGGAGAGGAGCAACCTGGAATTAAGAAGAAACTTCCTAACAGTGGGGACAATTAACCAGTGGAACAGCCTGCCACCAGAAGTTGTGGCTGCCCCATCACTGCCCCAATAAAAGTCATGGCAACCTGAAATGGTATAGGGTTGAAGGAAGTTAAAACCCACCTCTCTCCTAGGAAAATGAAATACTTTCGGATATATTAAAAAGACAGAATATTTCCCCTAAGAGTAGAAACTCATAAAGGCAGAAATTCAGCCCCCCACCTTTGTTAATGGGCCATTAAGGCCTGAGCCAGTCTATTCTACATAACAAAGATCTACCTCCTTCAAGCAGAGCCATTTAATTGCCCTTCATTGCATCACCCAGCAAATTTCAACCAAACTTAACACACCAACAACCTAAAAAGTTAAGCTATGACCTCTGACAACAATCTATCAGGACACACTTCCTGTACTCCAGGAAGTTCAAAGCCAGAAAGGGTATAAAACCGGGGACTCTCGGCATTTCTTCCCTTTTCTTCGCCCAAAATTTCCAAGG